TCGCAGGACCAACTCAAGAGTTCTTGGACTGCCCAAAGTGAACTGCCTTCCACAACGCAATTGCCTCCATATGTCACCTCTGTGGACATAAAAGTCATTAGTTAGACAAATGTTACACTGGGTGACCCTAGAATAACACCCATCCACCTGGGAATTGATATTGTAACTTGTAGCTACAACCTAGATGGCGTTGGTCTCAATACGTCACCCACCAGAGGTCATCCACATCGACCTCTCCTTCTGACTGGGGCAGGAAACCGGGGCCGTTCACCGATACCACGCCACCACCCCCAACAGATGACGTTGTCTTTGTAGCACCCAATACTAGGGGAGCTGGAGTGCAGACCCATAGATGGCGCTGAAATCGCCACTCTATACTCCAGTGATGGTGTCGATACCGTAACAGGTGCCCATATCGTCAGAAGCACATCAACAAACTGTTAAAGGTGCAAAGACATGCTACTAAGTGGCTCCCAGAACTGAAGGGCAATATCTATGAGGAGAGGTTAGAGGCATTAAATATGCAAAAACTAGAAGATAGAAGAAAAAGAGACACTATGATCACTATGTACAAGATAATAGGAATCGATAAAATTGAGAGGAAAGACTTTCTGAGACCTGGAATTTTGAGAAGGGGAACTTTGGAAAGGGTGGTTTCAGGCGGGTGGGAGGTCTTGGGTGGGTTTGGGCCCTTGGGCAGGTGGGTAAGCATTCATGGGTGAGTGGGTAGGCATTCATGGGTGGGTGGGCAGGCTTAAGTGGGTTCAGGCTGGTGGACATTTTTGGGTGGTTTTGTAGGGGCTTGGGTGGGTTTGGGCAGTTGGGTGGGCTTTATTGGCAGGCTTGGGTGGGTTTGGGCAGGTGGGCAGGTGGGCAGGCTTTGGGCAGGCTTTGGGCAGTCTTGGTTAGGTGTGGGCAGACTTGGGTGGGTTCAGGAGGGTGGGGCCGTCTTGGGTTTGTTCGGGCGAGTATCGGGCAGGTAACCGTTCTTGGGGTGGGCGGGCCTGGGTGGTCTCTGGTGGGTTTGGGTGGGTTTAGGCAGGTGGGCGTTCTTTTTGAACATGCTCGGATGGTTTCGGGCAGGCTTGGGTGGTTTTGGGCAGACTTGGGTGTGTTCGGGCAGTTGGGTTTTTCGGGCGGGTGGGCGAGCTTGGGTGGCAGGCAGACTATCACAGACTGGCTGTGGTAATGCCAGACTGGCTGTCACAACAGTAACAACAGATCGGCTGCATCCTACCCCCCTCCTTGCTCATCCCCACGTCAAACCCTGCCAGATATATCCCCTACCCTTCCAGGCGCGTGTTGATGGTCCTTACAATATTAATAGGGTTTAGATGGTGGCCTTGGAGGCAGACTTCCTGACTGCCCTGACTGACTGCACTGAATGACTGACTACACTGAATGACTGACTGATTGCACTGACTGATTGACCTGACTGACTTGACTGGCTGACCTGGCTGGCTGACCTGATTTACTGACTGACTGCACTGACCTGACTGACTGTACTGACCTGCCTGACTGCACTGACCTGACTGACAGCACTGACCTGACTAACTGACTGCACTGACCTGACTGACTGACTGCATTGCCCTGACTGACCTGACTGACTGAATGACTGACTGACTGACTGACTGACTGACTGACTGACTGACTGACTGACTGACTGACTGACTGACTGACTGACTGACTGACTGACTGACTGACTGTCTGCCCTGACCGAATGCCCTGACTGACTGTCCTGACTGACTTGACTGACCTAACTGACTGACTGTGTGTGCTGCACATAAGGGGCATAACTGTGTGTGTATGTGTGTGCTACACATAAGGGGCATAACTGGCAATCCCCTCACAGTGTTCAAGAGAGAACTGGATAAGCACCTCCAAAGGATACCTGATCAACCAGGCTGTGACTCATACGTAAGGCTGCAAACAGCCGCGTCTAACAGCCTGGTTGACCAGTCCAGCAACCAGGAGGCCTGGTCGACGACTGCGCCGCAGGGACGCTAAGCCCCGGAAGCACCTCAAGGTAACCTCAAGGTAGGACTGTCCTGACTGACTGACTGACTGCCCTGACTGACTGTCCTGACTGACTAACTGACTGACTGATTGACTGACTGACTGACTGACTGACTGACTGACTGACTGACTGACTGACTGACTGACTGACTGACTGACTGACTGACTGACTGACTGACCCCTGACTGCCTTGACTTCCCTGACTGACTGACTTACATACAAGAAGGTACATTGGGTTTGTGAGGGTACATAATGTTAGTGTTCTGTAAACAACATCAAACTCATGTTGTTTACAAACTGTGATTGGTTGCTACCACAATTGTGAATGCCTAACTGCCTTTGACTGTGAATACCTGATTGACTTGTGATTGTGAATGCCTGACTGACTTGTGACTGTGAATGTCTGACTGACTTGTGACTGAATGCCTGCTGACTGACTGTGACTTGACTATGGCTGCTGTTGACTGGTTGTAACTGTGACTAGCTCTGACTACATGCTGCATAACAGAAGAAGTAAAATCTGTGAGTGAAAATATAACCACTTTGGACACTAGCGAGGGCAAGGTTGTCACAATAAACACAATACTGACCTCCAGTTTATTGCATACCGGACTCTGTAAACGCAATACCATATTCAGAGTTTAACAGCCAGTGACTCTGTAAATAAGGCGCCAGTTAATAACGATCTAAAAATCGGTCGTTACAACAGGCAGAATGGTAAATAAGAAGTTGTTAAATCGAGTAGATACTATATATTAGTATATTTTGGTAGCAGTCTTTCTTGTAAACATATGTTGTTGAATATGACCGAAAAGGTAAGATTGATAATTCGAATACAAATTTTCTCAATATTTCTTATATTTCTCTTCACTGTCGATGGTACTTGAAAAATCAATTCTCCAAAATTAATTTTTATTTTTAGTCTGACGCCTGAACGCGTTTCGTAACAACTTATTACATTTTCAAAGACTTTAGTTTACACACACAACTGTAACCTGTAAACACACAAAATACATCCATATTTATACTCTTATGTTAATACTCTATTTCTTATGTTTCTCTTCGCTGTCGATGGTGAAGATATATATATATATAGTTGTATATAGTATATATATATATATATATATGCTATATACAACTTTAGAACACTTTCCCACCAGGAGACTCGAACCCTAGCCAGCACAGAAGCCTTCCAGCAACTGGCATAACAGGTACGCCTTTAACCCACTGCACCACCGCTCAGACCCTTAAAAGAGATGGTAATTTCGGAGTATTTATACACACCAAAGACCACCATCTCCCAAGAGCACTAGAGCAAGTGAGGGGTCATTTTTACGTTTTTCATCAAGTCCCTGTTAATATGGGAGAACACTGTGTCTATGCTTGAGGCACAACTCTCCTAAACACGAGAGTGAAGTTATACAACTATATATATACTATGTACTATATATATATATATATATATATATATATATATATATATATATATATATATATATATATATATATATATATATATATATATATATATATATATATATATATATATATATATATATATATATATATATATATATATATATATATATATATATATATATATATATATATATATATATATATATATATATATATATATGTCGTACCTAGTAGCCAGAACGCACTTCTCAGCCTACTATGCAAGGCCCGATTTGCCTAATAAGCCAAGTTTTCCTGAATTAATATATTTTATCTAATTTTTTTCTTATGAAATGATAAAGCTACCCATTTCATTATGTATGTGGCCAAATTTTTTTATTGGAGTTAAAATTAACGTAGATATATGACCGAACCTAACCAACCCTACCTAACCTAACCTAACCTATCTTTATAGGTTAGGTTAGGTTAGGTAGCCAAAAAAGTTAGGTTAGGTTAGGTTAGGTAGGTTAGGTAGTCGAAAAACAATTAATTCATGAAAACTTGGCTTATTAGGCAAATCGGGCCTTGCATAGTAGGCAGAGAAGTGCATTCTGGCTACTAGGTACGACATATATATATATATATATATATATATATATATATATATATATATATATATATATATATATATATATATATATATATCTTTATTATTTACTACTTATCCAAGATCTGACAGCGCTCGGTGGTCAACTTGGATATAGATATTTCATCGATATATATATATATATACATATATATATATATATATATATATATATATATATATATATATATATATATATATATATATATATATATATATATATATATAAGTATATTTTAGATGTGAAAGTATATTTTATACACGTTTTCATGTCATATTGACACTGGAATAGTTGGTCTTACCCCGTTAGTGTTATAGTGTTAAGAAGTGTTCACCCATCTTGAACGAGCCATATGTGATCACAAATTATGTTCCCTCAATGCAGAGGTAAGTCATTAAACATGTGAATATCTTGTACAAAGAAACAACAGTGCACTCTCTTCTTTCCTAAGTATTATGACTTATTTTCTGACTATTGACTCACAAGACCTTACTCCATCCTATTCAGTGCACAAAGGACTTACATTGGATTCCTCCAGGTGTCGGTGAGTCACCTGGAAGTAAATGTGCTTTGAACTGTTATTAAATATTAAGTTTTCAATTTCATATTGAATTTATTTAACAGTAAAAGTTATAAAGCCCCGTGCAAGCAGGAACAGGCTTGAAGTAGTTGACAATGGGATGGTTGTAAGGGATAAGGTTGTGTGTATATATAATAACTAAAATAGAAATACTGGGGCTAGAGCCTGCACATTCTCCTTGCAGTGTAACAGTGAACCAAACAAAATTTATATTACTTTGACATGACTGTCATAGACTTATACATGTAAAAATATCAACAGTCCGATGTCTTCTTCTTCCTGCATGCACGGTGACTGTGGGTCATCTCACCTGCCTTGGGTCCTCACTAATGCTCAGGTGTTGGGTCGTCACTCCTCAGGTAAAGGCGGGTTCGGGCACAGAGGAGCTGGCTCAGGAGGAGGAGGAGGAGGAGGAGGAGGAGGAAGCGAGCTAGCTGGTGGTGGTCAGATGCGGGGTGCTGGGCCTGGAGGAGGTGGTGGTGGAGGCGGAGGTGGTGGAAGTCTCATGGGAGAAGCAGACATCATTATAAAAGAAGAAGTAGAGACTTGCATTAATTTGGACACTCTACAGACCACCAGACTTAGTGAGTGTGGTGGTGCGATCAGTATGTCAGACAAGAACCTTACTCCCGTAGACAGTACTACGTACCTGCCTCCTGGACCCACTTCTCCACCCCTCAGTCAGCCTCAGCAACAACAGCAGCACCAGCAACTACAACAGCACCAGCAACTACAACAACAACAACATCAGCAGACAACTGTAGCTGGTGGCACAGTGTTACCAGATGAAGAAAGCGTATCTCCCCGTAAGCTTTTAATTATTGCATGCTCACCATATTTGCATGATCCTATTGCACGAATGCACAAAATTTTAGTTTGTAGATAGTTTCAGAACTCTTGGGGTTTGAAAGGCTTTGCTATATTTGGGACCCACTGCATTCATATGTTTTACGGTAAGTTTAGTCTTTATGAATTTAATTTCTGTTGCTTTTCATTTTAGTTTTGCCACTGGGTAATATTGTGTATGCTATTGAGAAATTGCTTTTGTGATGTACATATTAATTAAGGAAAATTAGGTTTTATAAACATAGGGAAATAAATGTATTACTTATAATTGCTGATGTGCTTTTGTATTTTTTATTTCTGTGCTCTGGTATTTTATTGTTTTGTTTTTACTGTTTTATTGTATTAACCCTGTTTAAAAAAAGTTTCACTGGATGCCTCTGAATATTCAAAGTATCATCTAAACCAGCCTTGTAAGATAAACGAGCACCTAAGTATAGCTCCTTAACCAGTACCTGCTTTATGTCATAGCCTGTCATCACAACTCCATTTTCTCTAAGTCCACTTTATTCTTTGTGCTTGCTTCTGGGTATTTATGTAGTGTATGCACACACACACACACACACACATTAAATTCACACACACACACACATAAAGAGGCATTAAACATGCCAAAACTAGAAGACAAGAAAAAGAGGTGGTATGATCACTACATACAAAATAGTAACAGGAATTGATAAAATTGACAGGGAAGACTTCCTGAGACCTGGAACTTCAAGAACAAGAGGTCATAGATTTAAACTAGCTAAACACAGATGCCGAAGAAATATAAGAAAATTCACCTTTGCAAATAGAGTGGTAGACGGTTGGAACAAGTTAAGTGAGAAGGTGGTGGAGGCCAAGACCGTCAGTAGTTTCAAAGCGTTATATGACAAAGAGTGCTGGGAAGACGGGACACCACGAGCGTAGCTCTCATCCTGTAACTACACTTAGGTAATTACTTAGGTAATTACACACACACACATACACACACATTCTGAGCTCAGCATTCCACTTCACCTGATCTTTCAGGCATCCCTGTGTACAGGAATCGTAGCAGACGTGTGGAAACAGGCTAACATAGTTCCAATCTACAAAAGTGGCAGCAAGGAAGACCCCCTCAATTATAGACCTGTATCATTGACAAGTGTAATAGTGAAAGTATTGGAAAAACTAATCAAAACTAAATGGGTAGAACACCTAGAGAGAAATGATATAATATCAGACAGACAGTATGGTTTTCGATCTGGAAGATCCTGTGTATCGAATTTACTGTTTCTATGATCGAGCCACAGAGATATTACAGGAAAGAGATGGTTGGGTTGACTGCATCTATCTGGACCTAAAAAAGGCTTTCGACAGAGTTCCACATAAGAGGTTGTTCTGGAAACTGGAAAATATTGGAGGGGTGACAGGTAAGCTTCTATCATGGATGAAAAATTTTCTGACTTATAGAAAAATGAGGGCAGTAATCAGAGGCAATGTATCGGAATGGAGAAATGTCACAAGTGGAGTACCACAGGGTTCAGTTCTTGCACCAGTGATGTTTATTGTGTACATAAATGATCTACCAGTTGGTATACAGAATTATATGAATATGTTTGCTGATGATGCTAAGATAATAGGAAGGATAAGAAATTTAGATGATTGTCATGCCCTTCAAGAAGACCTGGACAAAATAAGTAGATGGAGCACCACTTGGCAAATGGAATTTAATGTTAATAAATGTCATGTTATGGAATGTGGAATAGGAGAACATAGACCCCACACAACCTATATATTATGTGAGAAATCTTTAAAGAATTCTGATAAAGAAAGAGATCTAGGGGTGGTTCTAGATAGAAAACTATCACCAGAGGACCACATAAAGAATATTGTGCAAGGAGCCTATGCTATGCTTTCTAACTTCAGAATTGCATTTAAATACATGGATGGCGATATACTAAAGAAATTGTTCATGACTTTTGTTAGGCCAAAGCTAGAATATGCAGCTGTTGTGTGGTGCCCATATCTTAAGAAGCACATCAACAAACTGGAAAAGGTGCAAAGACATGCTACTAAGTGGCTCCGAGAACTGAAGGGTAAGACCTACGAGGAGAGGTTAGAAGCATTAAACATGCCAAAACTAGAAGACAGAAGAAAAAGAGGTGATATGATCACTACGTACAAAATAGTAACAGGAATTGATAAAATCGACAGGGAAGATTTCCTGAGACCTGGCACTTCAAGAAAAAGAGGTCATAGATTTAAACTAGCTAAACACAGATGCCGAAGAAATATAAGAAAATTCACCTTCGCAAATAGAGTGGTAGACGGTTGGAACAAGTTAAGTGAGAAGGTGGTGGAGGCCAAGACCGTCAGAAGTTTCAAAGCGTTATATGACAAAGAGTGCTGGGAAGATGGGACACCACGAGCGTAGCTCTCATCCTGTAACTACACTTAGGTAATTACACTTAGGTAATTACACACACACACACACACTCCATGCTAGATTTGATATTTACCAGGAAGGAGGAAGAGATATTTGACATTCAGTACCTTCCTCCCTTGGGTAAATGTGACCATGTCTTTTTGGGAATAAAGTATGCAATGCATTATAATCTGGAAGAAAACAAGGAGGTTGAAGCAGTTGAAAAACCTGACTTCAGGAGAGGACATTATGGCTACCTTAGAAATTTTTTTAGTGAGTATAATTGGACAGACTTGATGCTAGGCAAGGAAGTGAATGAGATGTATGTCAAGTTTTGTGAAATATATGATAAAGGCACAAACAAATTTATACAAAACAGAGATGCAAAACTAGGAAACAGGATTGGTTCAATGGAAATTGCGAGAGGGCCAGAGACCAAAAGACACAAAATGGAATCAATACAGGAAGAGGCCAAACCCCCAAACATACCAGCGATACAAAGATGTGAGAAAACACTACACGGCAGTGAGGAGAGAGGCAGAAAGAAATTTTGAAAATGGGATTGCAGACAAACGTAAAACAGAATCAGGTCTATTCTATAAGTTCATAAACAACAAATTGCAGGTAAAGGATAATATTCAGAGGTTGAAAATGGGAAATAAATTCACGGAAAATGAAAAGGAAACGTGTGAAACTCTAAACGAAAAGTTCCAAAGTGTGTTTGTACAAAATGAAATCTTTAGGGAACCAGACACAATAAGAATTCCAGAGAACAACATAGAGCACATAGAGGTGTCTAGAGACGAAGTGGAAAAAATGCTCAAGGAGCTAAGTAAGAACAAAGCAGTTGGTCCAGATGGAGTTTCACCATGGGTTCTGAGAGAATGTGCACCTGAGGTCAGCATTCCACTTCAACTGATTTTTCAGGCATCCCTGTGTACAGGAATTGTAGCTGAAGTGTGGAAAAGGCTAACATAGTTCCAATCTACAAAAGTGGAAGCAGGGAAGACTCCCTTAATTATAGACCTGTATCATTGACAAGTGTAATAGTCAAAATATTGGAAAAAATAATTAAAACTAAATGGGTAGAACACCTGGAGGAAAACGATATAATATCAGACAGACAGTATGGTTTTCGATCTGGAAGATCCTGTGTAACGAACTTACTCAATTTTTATGATTGAGCCACAGAGATTTTACAGGAAAGAGATGGTTGGGTTGACTGCATCTATCTGGACCTAAAAAAGGCTTTCGACAGAGTTCCACATAAGAGGTTGTTCTGGAAACTGGAACATATTGGAGGAGTGACAGGTAAGCTACTAATATGGATGAAAAATTTCCTAACTGACAGAAAAATGAGGGCCGTAATCAGAGGCAAAGTATCGGATTGGAGGAATGTCACGAGTGGAGTACCACAGGGTTCAGTTCTTGCACCGGAAATGTTCATTGTCTACATGAACGATCTACCAGTGGGAATACAGATTTACATGAACATGTTTGCTGATGATGCTAAGATAATAGGGAAGATAAGAAACCTAGATGATTGTCATGCCCTTCAAGAAGACCTGGACAAAATAAGTATATGGAGCAACACATGGCAAATGGAATTTAATGTGAATAAATACCTGTTATTGAATGTGGAATTGAAGAACATAGACCCCACACAACCTATAAATTATGTGAGAAATCTTTAAAGAATTCTGACAAAGAAAGGGATCTAGGGGGTAGTTCTAGATAGAAAACTGTCACCTGAGGACCACATTAAGAACATTGTGCGAGGAGCCTATGCTACACTTTCTAACCTCAGAATTGCTTTTAAATACATGGATGGAGAAATAGTAAAGAAATTGTTCACGACTTTTATTAGATCAGAGCTGGAATATGCAGCGGTTGTATGGTGCCCATATCTTAAGAAGCACATCAACAAACTGGAAAAGGTGCAACGATATGCCACCAAGTGGCTCCCAGAACTGAAGGACAATAGCTACGAGGAGAGGTTAGAGGCATTAAATATGCAAAAACTAGAAGATCGAACAAAAAGAGGCGATATGATCACTACATTCAAAATAGTAACAGGAATCGATAAAATTGATAGGGAAGAATTCCTGAGACCCGGAACTTCAAGAACAAGAGGTCATAGACTTAAACTAACTAAACAAAGCTGCCGGAGAAATATACGAAAATTCACTTTTGTAAATAGAGTGGTAGTCGGTTGGAACAAGTTAAGTGAGAAGGTGGTGGAGGCCAAAACCGTCAGTAATTTCAAAGCATTATATGACAAAGAGTGCTGGGGAGATGGGACACCACGAGCATAGCTCTCATCCTGTAACTACACTTAGGTAATTACTTACTACTTCCCTTCGGGGGGAGGGAGAGCAGCAGCAGTGAGGGTGTACTCACATAGTTGTACTCATCTAGTTGTCCTTGCGAGGTTGAGCTCTGGCTCTTTGGTCCCGCCTCTCCTGAGGGATAAGTGGATCAGGACTTCTCTAATTGGTGAGTGCAAACAAAATACTGTCGCATTTATGCTTAGAACCTGTCGATTTTTTCCCTTAGATTTATTTATATTTTTTT